CAGGGTTCAACATACCTTTTCTTTCTGTTTGCCCACTTTGATTTCCAGAGACAAAAGATTTTGGCGAGCCTAAGCTAGAAGATCTGGTTGAGCTTGACATGATTGCTTTCTGTTTATTTTTTTGGAAAATTGAAGCACACTTCTTTTCACTATAAATATTTTCGGCTATTGCTGAAATTTGCACAAGTTCTGATTTAAGTCCACCTAGCTCAAACTCTTCTGGACAGTATGCAAATAAAGAGCCATAATACTTTTCCATCATATCAGTTTTAGTCATTAGAGGATTTTTGGCTTTTTCTTGATCATACTTTCTTTCCAGTATTCTGGGAAGTTTGTGAACCATAAATTTCTCAATATTTCCCAAAACTATTTCATTCATATTACGAAATGAACACAGCTTGTTGAATCCGTAACTTTCCAAAACATTTGCTAACGATTCAGTAACTTTAAAGTTGTAGGGTGGTTTTTCCAAGAGTGTCCATAAGTCAGTTCCTATAGCCTGCCAAAGAAAAAAAAACGATAAATTTACCAAATCAGTTAACAGTCAACAATCAGAAGTTCTTCATATCAACTCACCGACTTAATCTTATCTGTAACCTCGTTCTCTGGATCGGACATCTTTGGAGAAATTACCTACAACCTGGAAAAAGTCAAACAGGAGTTATTTTAGGTATGAATTCAAAATTACAGTATAGAAATGTCAGTCAAAAAGAATTGCATGATTTGGTACAGTACATTCAAAAAGAGGTTATGTATTTATGTACATGAGTTTGTGAACTAGACATATCATATTCGCATGCTTCCGAATCTAATACATGGACGGGCGTCTCTATGACACTATACTGACAAATCTATAAATAACGAAGACAAATTAGAACAAAATACCAATGGCGGTTTCTTACCTTTCGTGACGAAGAACCAAATCCAAACCACAACCCGCAACCAGCTCCAACACCAGTGTTGCCTTTGGTAGTCTCGGTGCAGGTTATGTGTCTCCACATTGGTTGGCGCGACTTTCAAAAGCGACGAACTGGAAGTAAGGCAACGGTAGTGGCGTTTTCTGTCTAAAACTAAAACATGTAAAAAGAAAACAATAGGAACCAGAATGTCTCTTTGGGTCACAGAAGAAATTATTTTAATAATTAGGTCCTAATATCAAGCCTAGTTTTGAAATTTAAATAAATATACTGTGTCTGTTGTGGCAGAGAACTGGGCTGAGCGCGGGGTAGCTTCAAGCTCTAGACTGGAGATACTCCATGCGCAAGCAGCATTCGCCCGGTTCGGCCACCAGGAGCGTTGGGGTCGGGAGGGAGCGCAGGGGGCGTGAAAGCGATCAGCTGGGAGCTGCAGAAGAAGAAGACGGTCTCTTTTGCTTTTGACCGCTGCTCGGCTCGGACGGGAGGACAGCTGTCCAGACTTGGCCACACTATGCACCTAAGTCAACACCCGGTGTTCTATACAGTGGCGTGCTCAACACCTTCTTTTTTTCCCGGTAAGCCACAAGATACGTGGGCCTCCCAACCTCAATCGTCACCAGGGTCTGTTGCTCTGTCATTGCTTTGTTTCCGGCTCTTGCTTGCAGGGTGTTTGCTGGTGATTGGCTGAGCGATTAGCGAAGCCTATTACTCCGTCTGGTCGGAAAAAACTTTTTCTGTCTGTCCGTCTGTCTGTCTGTCTGTGTATCTGTCCGCACGAAAACTCGAAAACGAATTGAGCGAGCGACCTGGGATTTTCAGGGTCGTTTTGTATCATAAAAAGACAGATCGAGTTCGAAGATGAGCATTCTAGCTCAAAAATTGGATTTTTAAAAAATCGAAAACAACAGGTCCCAAAAATGACGTTTTTGAAAAATATTTTTTTGTGGTTTCCTAAGGGGTAACTCGTCAAAGTAGAGCGCTTTGGGCGAAAATTTTGTCCGTTTTGCTCTAGCTCAAACCGTTGAGGCGCTAGAGGGTGTTTTTGACGAAAATAAGCGAAAAAATGTACAACCCTGCATGATTAGTCAAAGTGACGGGCGTTGACGGGCCGGAGGCCGAGGCCCGTATCTTTGTGCACATTTTTGTACTACCTGACTCGGGTGTCAGCGCCGCAGGCCAAGGTAGATGTATGCCAGGCGCGTCGCAGCGTAACAGTGTTTCGTGAGGTATCGCGAAGCCTGTTACGCGAGACGTGGTCTGGCGTACATCTACCTTGTTTAAATATTACCATGCTTCTGGGCCTCGTGCTTTTCTATCGTGCCATGTCGGGCTAAGTCCCACGGCCTGTCGCCGTCCCGGTCGGCGATGAACTGACTGAAGCTAAGATGGGAGTTCTGCTACTCCACCTCAGCAGACTCCCCAGCCATCCGTTTGTCCATCACCTATATGGATCAATATAAAATGTAAGCACTATTCTGCCTCCCTCGGTTCTTCTCCAAAATTTGACCTTGAGTCATGCTTCTGTGCGCTGGGCGCTTTTTGTGGTGTCCTCACTCTGTATTTTCCAGAAGTTGAGTTCGGTTTTCTTTAACTTTTGGGTCCCTGTGGCTAGATGTGGCCTAGGGGCTGCTTCTGGAGTCTAGGCTAAGTGTATCATGTCTCGTGGCTCACTCAGGCTCCAGGAGTAACCCTGAACTGCATTTAGCCACGGGGATCCATGTGTAATCTACAGTAAACATGGCGACAAGAACTTGCATCGAGTGTGATTTAAGATTTATTTGTATTTTGAAGTGTTCTTAGCTGTGACAGTGGGATGGGGTCGACGCTCATTGTCATCCGTGTCCATTTCAGAACAGACACATCAGACTAAAGCAAATTTACTGCCTCCAAACACAATGTGAGCATTGGGTGAGGTTAAGTGCTTGGGCTACATTAGCCTAGGCTAATAAGATATGGAATCAATGTTCTTGCATTGAATTCTGAAAACAAGTTCAAAGTGGCCTTTTCAATCTATTGTAAGTAAAACAAACCTCCTCACCCTCCCATCTTCAGTGCCATTGTCCCGTTAATTTTATCGAGTTCTATTAATTGTCTGTTAGTTATTTGTGAGGGCTCGCCTCGTATTTGAAGTCACATGGACTGAGCAGTACTACTACAAAATTATGTGGTAGCATTATCACTATGATTTTCTATTAAATGAGTACTATCATAATTTATTTAAATCTTAATATTGTACAGAAATTTAGCCTCGACCCTTATTAGAACAAACATATTATGTAATAGGAAAAGAACGCCAAGAATTGGTGATCAAAAAAGGGATGCGAATGTTTGTTGTTCTCAATAGTACCTCCAGGAAAGGAACGACGGGATCTTGCATTCCAAGTTGAATGCCAATATTTTGGTGTCATACGGCAGACATTTAATGCTGCAGTCAGCACTGATGGATTTTAATATGGACATTTAATTGATGCACAAAACATAATGGTTAACAATTTAACTTATTAAGAATAAATACAGTATAATAACTTCCAAATTAAATGCTATGTAAAGTGTATTTGCATATTTGAAGTGCAACTCAAAACAATGTTTGACAAAAAGAATAAACGCCCAATGGATTTGGATTTTTTATGACTTGTTCTGTAGAGCGACAAGAGACATTGGATGCTTAGACACATTACACTTTGGGCTACTTTTATGTCTTTCTCCTGTTTAAAAGGAGCGAAATAGCCAATAGATCAAAGGAATCAGAATATCGACGTTCTATTTCTCTTTGCTCAACTGCGAACGCGAAACTTTGATGGAAAGCGATGTCCGCAAGATATGGCGGTAGGGATGTCTTCTGATTTCAAACCAAAAAATAGAATATTTCTGTTTTTTCGTCGGTTTTACGCTGCAACATACGCCATGCATTGATTCTCGTAGATTTCGAATCTGATCTTAATTTTTCAAAGTGTTGAAGGATTGCTAACATCTCGGCGGATCCAATTTGCAATGCACGACCAGGTCCGAGTGCACAGATTCTGGTTAACAAACAATATATGAAAAATAGGTTATGTCGAGGTTGGAAATATGTTTCCGGCTACGTGTAAGTACTTTCCGTATCAAATTTCAAAGTCTTTCTATCAAAAACAAGGTCAAATCGAATAAAATACTCATATTGTCAACAGCCTGAAAAGCTGCTACTGAATTTCTCATACTTAGTTGTG